CTCTAGCATATGACTGAAAATACAAGTATTGCTACCAGGCCTGCATTCAGCTTTAGTTAAGGAAGGTATCTTGGCTTCATCTTGCTTTTCAGCAGTAGGAACCAATCTGGGCAGAGGCATCTGGGTGTTCTGGTGTGTGGCTACGGAAGCTTGGGGATGGTGGAGCTTAAAGATTCTACAGACAGTCCTTGGGCTGTGATCTGCATATCATCTCGGTTTGACTGTCCAGCACTGAGGTTTTCTTCAGAAGTTACTGCTGTTCTAACCAATGTGTTCACAGTTGCTCAGCTGTCTTCTATGGATGACTTTTAATTGACCTTGGCCTTGAGAGCTTCCCACTGAATAAACTGCTGAATCTTGAAAGCCTTGCACTGGGATGAAAACCATACTTGGTTCTGCTCAGTGGGGGCAGGTAGAGCAAGTATTCTGTTTTCTAGGGCTTTGCTTTTTTTTTTTTTTTTTTCTTTTCTCTTTTTAACCTTAGGCCAGTGAGGCAGCAGGACTATGAGGCAAGGCTGAAACAATAAGTTTACAATATATACTGATGATTTGCTTCTGTAGTTGTTGCTTATATTAAATAGCTTGTGTTTAAATATTTAGTAGCGTGTCTGGATCTGCTTTGTAACCTTGGTGGTTTGTGGTAGTACCAGAGCCACTGTTTACCCCACTGGGCAACTCGGGGGCCTAGCTGTGGGGCACTGGGTCACTGTTTAAATTGCTACTTCAGTCCCTAGCTGAGGACTAAGGTCTAAGACAACTTGGGGCGCCTGGGTGGCTCATTCGTTTTTGTTTTTTTAAGACTTTATTTATTCATTTGACAGAAATCACAAGTAGGCAGAGAGGCAGACAGAGAGGAGAAAGCAGGCTCCCTCCGGAGCAGAGAGCCCGATGTGGGGCTCGATCCCAGGACCCTGAGATGGTGACCTGAGCCTAAAGCAGAGGCTTTAATCCACTGAGTGGGTGGCTCATTTGTTAGGCAGCTGCCTTTGGCTTAGGTCATGATCCCAGAATCCTGGGATCAAGCCCCGCATTGGGCTCCCTGCCCTGTGGGAAGGCTGCTTCTCCCTCTCCCACTCCCTCTGCTTGTGTTCCCTCTCTATCTCTTTTTGTCAAATAAGTAAATAGAATCTTTAAAAAAAAAAAAAAAGACAACTGAATTAGCCTAATTAAATTCGTGTTTAAAAGCACCATCTCCTTAGCCTTTTCCCTGCCTCCTCCCAAGTATAAACTAGGTTTTGTTTCCCTGGTGGAAATAGCATCTGAAATTAAGTAACAAATACCGTGCAACCTCTCTCCATTCTGCAGTTAGACTGGAAAAGAACCAGCTTTAAGACTTCTGTAATATTCCTGTTTGCTCAGAGAGGAAGACAAGTGTTTCTATCCAACTGATTTTGAGAACATGCCTCTTTACTGGGTCCTGAACTCCTCTGGACAGTCTGTGTGCTGGATTCCGTTTGTCCGCTAATCCAGGTGGACATGAACTGTGAAGTCCTGGACAGAGCAAGGGTCAGGACTCCAGCCAGGTGCTAAGCTCCATGTGTACACCGAGCTCCCCCACTATGAGGTTCAGAACTAGAGGCAAGGAGGATTGGCGGCCTCTGTGGGAAAAGTGAAAGGTGAAAGGTTCTTGTTAGGCTGTCAGAATGACAAATTGAAGGTCTGTGAGTCCCTTTCATCTCCCTGATGGGTCCAAGTGATAAGAAAACAAGGCTTAGCCACTCATGATAATGAAGCTTGCGGGTTTTGCTGGACAGTTTCCACACTCGGTCGGGAGAGTGACCTGCAGGGAGGCCGCCAGCAGTCTGCTGCTTGTGCTTGTGTGCGGGTTGTGTCAGTAATGAGATGGACTTCTTGCTGGTCGTGCCATCGGACTGGTTAGTTGGAGCTGAAGTTGTAGAATTAGGTGGGTGCCTCCTGGATGCCGTAGGAGACATGAAGGCGGTGGGGTTAGTACTTTTTAAGAGGGCTGCCTGAGGAAGGCCGGGCTGCGTGCTAAGTCCTCCCCAGTCACTGGCTGGCGGGTTGCTGTCCAGCTTTCCCCCGTCTGGGCGGGAGTCCACCGTGGAGGCCAGGGCTTGGGGACACTGAGCATTCTCTAGCTCACTACCTTCCCCCTCAGTTCTGGACTTCTTCTATTTTTAGTGACACTGAAATACTGACTCCAGCCTCACTGGTGAGATCTGTGTAGGGCAGAGGCTGAAACAAGGGGTGTACTTCAGAATGCCCATGTGAATTAGGATGTGGGGAGAAATCGCCTTGGACAGAGCCCAGTACTAGAGTCAAGACAAAGCCAGGCTTCCGCTCCCACCTGGGCAGGTCACCCTGAAGTCTGGTCCGCAGTTAAGCCTGAGGCCTGCTCATCTCCCTGCCGAGTCTAGGACCTCTTCTCACTTGTCTGAGGTGTAGCAGCTTCTCTGACAGGCCTTATTACTCAAGTCCTCCTGTCTTCTTCCTGCCAGAAGAAGCTGAAGCACCCACTCCACCTGCCAGCGGCAGAAAGAGGTCAACGCCACAGTAAGTGCTGACCAACTTGGCTCAAAGCCCCAGCTAATCAGCAAGATGCGAGACACAACTGTACATCTCTCCATAAGGGGACGTGGGGGAAGGGTGGCAAAAATGTACTTTCTCAGAGCAGGGGCAGCACTTAAGAGGGTGAGAGATGATTTTTTTTTTTTTCTCTTAAAAAACATTTAATTGGGGGCGCCTGGGTGGCTCAGTGGGTTAAGCCACTGCCTTCGGCTCAGGTCATGATCTCAGGGTCCTGGGATCGAGCCCCGCATCGGGCTCTCTCAGTAGGGAGCCTGCTTCCTCCTCTCTGCCTGCCTGCCTCTCTGCCTACTTGTGATCTGTCAAATAAATAAATCTTAAAAAAAAAACATTTAAATGTGTTAGGTTAAAATTGCAAAGCAAGATAAAAGTTACAGCCTAATTGTGTACCTAGAAATACATACACACATTTCTAGAAGGGGTACAAAAACATGACTGAGTTTTACTTGTCACAATTTACTCTTCTATATATAATTTGTATTTTTTATCAGGATGAATTAAAGTTTTTCAAACATAATTTTTAGTCTTACTCTTTTTTCAAGAATCTTGGTTTTATCTGGCTTACAGACATTAGCTAATTCCTAATTAGGAAAGAGCTCGTTTGAGGATGTTTTCCAACTAGATGGGGGTTTAACAACAACAACAACAAAAGCCAGTGTAAACTGAAACAAATAAATTGATGTTATGAATTCTGTTCCACCGCTTCGGATACTCTGGTAGCACCATTAAAGGACTACGGGGCGGGGCGCCTGGGTGCCTCAGTGGGTTAAGCCTCTGCCTTCTACTCAGGTCATGATCCCAGGATCCTGGGATCAAGCCCCGCATCAGGCTCTCTGCTCAGCAGGGAGCCTGCTTCCTCCTCTCTCTCTATGATCTATGTCTGTCAAATAAATAAATTTTTTAAATCTTTAAAAAAAAAAAAAAAAAAGGACTATGGGGCTAGGCCAGGTCACAAGGGGGTACACAGGAGGTTCCACGATGGGGAATCACAGCTTCTGGTCCTAAATCTTGTCTGGTAATGTCACAGGCTGCCAGGTGAGCATTTGTTCCTCACATTTGCTAGCCACTTACCCAGCGTGTGGCGGTGGCTCCAGCAAGCACCCAGCTCTTCGTAGGCTTGATATTAAAGCACATGTTTTGAGGGAGAACAGATTCTGTTCACCTCTGCTGGGAGGCCTTCAGATGCCTTAAACCCTGGAGTCTGGCTTCCTGCTTCTCTAGTTCTATGGTCCTGCTCTTGCGCTCAAGTCTTGGGCCTGTGTCGGTCTCGTGGATTTCTCAGGGTTTGTCTCGGTCATTGGTGTGGCTGCTCTCCCATGCTTTGCACCCCTTTGGTGGGTGGGGCCACCAGAGAAAGCACAGCATGCTCACCATTAAAAATGCACTAACTCATAAGCGGACAAGGAGCTGGGCCAGAGGACAGCACCTCCACCTCGCCTTGTCCTTAGGGAAGCCCAAAAAGGATTCTAAGTCCGTCCCCCCCACCCCCACCCCCCAGGATTCAGTTAGAACCCTGTGAAGAGGTACCAGCACTGCTCAGAAGGTTTAATAGGGTACTTAAGACTTTTTGTCTTTCTAAATTTGTCAACCTCTCCTGTTCTCCACCCACCTTCCCCTGTGAGTTCTGCCTTAGCCACACAATGGCCAGTCCTCCCTCCTGGGGTCTTTTACTCAATTTGAATTCAAAATAGGGAAAAATTGCACTTCAGAATGAATCATCCATTTTATTTTATTTTATTTTGTCATGTGCTCACAGCATCTCTCTCTCTCTCTCTCTCTCTCCTCTCCCTGGCAGGTCAGAGATAAATTAAAAATAAAATCTACAAGGAAAATAATTTATAAAAGCACTTCCCAGGCTCGTGCCTTGTATCCCCACTGCTCAGAACACCCCGCTTTCCCCTGCCCCCCAGCGGGGAGGAGAATCTGGCACTTCTCTTCCCACAACTCACTCCTGCTAGTCTGGAGCTGACTGTACTCCAGAGCCAGGCAGGGGTGGGGGCAGCAGTGGCAAAGAGTTAAAAATAAAGACACTGTGGTCCTGGCCATCTGGCCACCTTGGCGCTGCTCCCCTCTCTGCCTCCCCCAGGCAATCCTCCTGATAGGGGTCTTTACTAAACTGGGGGTATAGAGAAGCAGCCTGTGGCCGAGAGCCTGGGGGTAGGTGCTCTCAGCCCCCATTACATGCACTTCTCATTTTTCTAGAAAGAAACAAACTAACAAAAAAAAGGCAGACGGAGACCTCGGGACAGAGGAGAAAAATCCCAAGTGTTCACACAGTTACACGGAGTCTTTATGGCAAAGAGAACATTTAGCAGCTTTGAATATTGGGGTATCTCCTTTTTACTCAACACAAGCATTCTAGACCCTATAAGTGAAACAGGGCTCAAGCCCTAAAAAAAATCAAAGCGCAAGAAATTCTAGAAGGACTAGTTTTTGTTGCTGGGTTTTGTGGGTTTTTGTCTTCCAGTGACATGCCCAGTTGTTGGTAGGGGAGGCCCGAGGGAAGTGTCACTCCCCAGTTTGTGCTGAATACTGCCTGGCTTGTCCACATCATCCCCCTGCCTCAGAGTAGCCCCCAGGAGGCCACAGGCTCAGCACTGGGGGCACTGCCAGCGCCCCAGCTGCAGAAGAGCTCCAGGCAGCGGGGAGGGGCAGGGGCACGCAGGCGGGCAGAGAACAGCCTTCGCATGCAGGCTCGGATGGAAACGTGGGTGCCTCAGCTCAGGGGGGACCGGGCACAGAGGGAGATGGGAATGGCAGGGCAGTGAAGGACATGCTTGGTGTTGGGGCTGCTGCAACACGGCACGGGGGCCTCGTGACCCTTTCCTGTTCCCTCTCTGACCCTAACTCCTCAAGCGAGTGTTGGGTCCCAATGGCTCCCCTACAAATGAAAACGTTACAGGACACACCCAAGAGCTCCCCATTGGGGCTCCACAGGGCAGGAGCTAAAAGAGCCCACAAGGCCCCTCCCAGATCCTACCTTGTGTTCCACCCTCCCCTGGGGTGAAGTGGGGATTCTTCCTGCCTAGGGCCTAGTCCCACCTAAACCTGCCCTCTGGTACTCTGGCAGAGCCAACCTTAACCTGCCCTTTGATTTTCTTCCCGCTTTGATTTTTTTTGGGTTTTTGTTTTTGTTTTTTTTTTTTCCCAATCCCCCTTCTTTCCTCCCTTCCCTCCTTTCTTCTTTCCAGGAATGAGACTTTCTATGACTTTCCTCTCACAAGATGCCCCCCTTTCCCCTTGGTCGGCCTCCAGCAATGCGAGCACCACCCCTTCCCTCAAAGGAAACAGCAGGGGTGAGGACCCTGTCCACCCAAACGGTCTGGCTGCTTCCGCCCCCCTTCCCCGCCCCACAGGGGGAAGCTGAGCCAGACAGCGCCTGCGCCCTCCTCTTCCTGTCCACTGACCGGCAGTTCATCCCATCTGAGATCTGTTGGATAAGAAGGCATTCAAGTCCCCACTGTAGGTCCAGGTCCAGGCCCAGCCCTTCTCCAGTTTCCATCCCGGTGAGCGTCAACCCCCCTCTCCTCCCAGGCTCACTTTCTTCGGTCCTTTGGCTTCCTCTCCTGTCGCCGGGCCTGCTGGTCGGCCAGGGTGCGGGGAATGAGGAGGACGCTGCCGTCCCCGGCGTACTGGAGTGCGTACTGGCTGGGCGAGTAGGGCCGCCCATTCTCATCCCGAAGCCGCCCGAACACCTCCTGGTACAGGCTCTGGACCTTCTGCTTCATCTGCCGCAGGGACCGGAGGAACTCCACCTTCTCCCGCAGCAGCCGGGCTTTATCGCGCTGCAGGTCCTCCACGTCCCGCTCCAGGTTCAGGATGGTGTCCAGCTTGCGCTTGCGGCAGTTCTGCGCCGCCATCTTGTTCTTGCCCCGGCGCCGGATGTCGCGGATGAGGCTCAGCTGGGCCTCGCTCAGCTGGTACTTGGACAGCAGCTCGTTGAACTCCTCCACCGGCAGGTTGATGATTTTGTCATTGGTGAAGGGGATCTTCATGGCTCGGGCTCGATGCTCGTCCCGGCTCATCTGCTTGTCTAGGAAGTCGGCCTGCTTCTCCTTGCTGCCTTTCTTGAGGGCGCCAGGCGGTGGCAGGTCGGCGGAGTCGAGGGCGCTGGGCGCCATGTTGTACGTGTGGTTGTGGCCCACGTGCTCCAAGTAGGGCAGGCAGGAGAGCTGCGACGGGTCCTGGTAGCTCATGCGGCAGAACTTGGAGTACTCGGGCTGGTAACCCACAGCGCCCTCGGCCTCTTCCAGATCCAGGGTCTCAGAGTCCGAGCTGTACCCAACAGCACCTTCCTCAGAAAAGGAGGAAGAAGCTGAAGAAGAAGCAGAGGAGGAGGAGGAGGAGGAGGAGGAGGAGGAGGAGGAAGAGCTGCCTTCGGAGCCGCTCAGGGACGAAGGGCTATGGCTGGAGTCCAAGGAGAGGCCTGAGTCAGAGTCGAACTCCTCTTCGAGCTGGGAGGCCTGCACGGGGTTGAAGCCCTCCTCGATGGCCAGGTCCATCAGGCTGATCTCGTCCAGCATGGCTTCGTCTAGCAGGCCCCCCAGTGGGTCGGGCAGCTCAGGGCCTGCCGTGTCGTTGGCGGTGCCGTTGAGCTGGGGCGGGAAGAAGAGCCCCGCCAGGTTGGTGGAGCCAAAGGTGGAGTTGAGGCTGGTGGAGTTGCTGGGGACCAGCGGGAGCAGCGTGGAGCTGCCGGCCACAGGCAGGCTCTCCGCCTCGGGACTGAAGAGTGAGAAGTCCTGGCTGCAGCCCCCCAGGGACGCCTGATGCAGGCTGACATTCTGATTGATGGGAGTGTTGGGGGCAAGGCTGTAGTTGGTGCTCAGGGGGTCTCCAGGAGGGGCGCTGTACAGGATCTCACTGGTCGAAGTGTTCACTTCCATGGCCTGGCAGGGGAAAGAGCGTCACGGTTCGTTCTGAGCAGACTCCCTCTCCCCGGGCTGGGGGGGCACGGCAGCAAGCACCCAGCACAGGCACAGCCGCGCGGTGGGAAGGCGAGAGACTGGAATCCAGAGCCCAGGGTCAACTCCCAGTCCTGCTCGGTCCACCAGGCCTTCGAGGCCTGGCAGATATGGATGGACCCCACCCAACGCAGGGCTGCCCAGCTCTCAGCTGTGTTTGGCCAGACTCCCTACCTCCGAGAGAGAGGCAAGGAAAACACACAACCCTGCCTACCTCTCCTCTGTAAAATCTGCACAGCCAAGAACACCCAGCCTTGGAGGGACAAAGCCCAGCTGTACCACCTGCCCTGGGACCACGGGCACATCACTTAACCTCTCTGAGCTTCAATTTCCTCACCTTTAAAATAACAAAGGCCTGACTAGATGACCGTAAGGGGCAGGAGCCGGCCCCAGCCGCAAACACACCGCACCAGTGTCCGGCTGTAGGAACGCTAAAGCTGGAAGCATGCGCTTAAGCGATTACCTACCTCGAAGGAAGAAGGCAAACCTAGGGGACAGTCCTGTTTCAGAAGGCTCAGCTCTAACCCGAACCCACATCCTGACTGCACCCCCTACCCCAAGGAGACACCTGGACGATGACCTCTCAGTGTCCCCACTTTCCCATGGATGAGAAAATTGTTCCTTTCTCTTCCCAGAGGAGAAAAATTTCGCAGCTGAATGGAACACCCCCTGCCCCTGCCCGAGAGGTTTGCGTCCTGTTCGGGTGATCCTACCTGCATTTCCATAATGGACATGAGATCTTGCCACTGCTGCTCCAAATCAAATGGCGACTCTGTCCCCGTCAGGAGAGGAGACAAGAGGTTGTTTTGAAGATCTGGGGGCTCGCTCTCACTAGGCACTGCTTCTGTTATGCTGGAAATGTCTGCTGGAAACTAGGGCAAAACACAGAGGTTTTAACGAGGGGAAGACAAGACCACTGTCGCGTTCCTCCCAGAGACTACCAGCTGAGGTTCTGTCTCCTCCTTCCTCTGAATTCACCCCTGCAGCCAGGAGCAGGCCAGCCCCAGGGGCTGGCCCCCCGGACAGCTGCAGAGGGACATACGGCGTGCAGGCTGCCCTGCTGGCTCGGTGGGTGCTCCCTGGAGTCCTGCTCACCTCAGCATTCTCCCCAAAGGGGCAGGTGGCCTCCAGCAGCCTAAGGCACTCTTCCAGGGACAGGGCCGTCTGGTCCTCCCCACCAGGCACCTGTGGCAACAGCAACCGTAAGTCTGACTGACCTGGGCCTCGGCCGCCTGCGGGCCGAAGCCTCTGCCCCATCCTTTCCCCAGCCTTCAGGGAAGCCAAAGGAGGGCCGAGACAGCCGCAGGCCTACACTCTCCCTCTGTGCCCAGGATGATGGCTGGCCCTGCATCCCAAACTCCAGGAAAGACCAGAGGGAGAGTGGAAGATTCCTGACAAACAGGAAGCTGCTAGATGCTTTGCTTCCTCCCTGCTGGTTGTCACCAAGGCCTGGCCCCTCTGCTTCTGTTGCTCATCCACTCCCCCTTCCTCAGCCCAAGTGACTTAGAGACCCCAACCCAAAAGATATATTCAGGTTTAACCCACAGACAGAAGCTGCCTTCTCTAAGGAGAAGTTTCTAGAAGTGGGCAGAGGTGGGGGTACCTGTGCAGGGAAGCTCTCCCCAGTTTCTCCATCCACTAGCAGGTTTCGCGCCAGAGCTTCTGCGCCCTCGCCTGACCAGGTGTCCTCCTGCTCCGCTCCATCTCGCACGTCCTTATCCACATCCTGCTCCTTCTGGCGATGACTATAGTCAAAAATCTCACGCCCAGCCCCCAGGTCAATATCCTGTCGCCAAAGGATGTCAATCAGATCTATGTCCTGAAAGACAGATCACCGCAACTTTAGCTCTTGGATCCAGGGGACTTTCCTAGCATCACTCTGATTAGACCTGGGAGTGGTGGGCAGCTCTCCCAGCCTCTGTCCCCTCTGTACCAACAGGGCTTCACTCATCCATTTCCGGATACCAGCCTCCATAAAAAATAAGAACAACAACAACAACAACAAAAAAAAACGAGCTAGCAAAAATTACCAGCATGATCAACCTCAGACAAGCCTGTGGGCTTAGGCCCAGAGATACAGCCAGGCCAAAAGGCAGGGCCACCTCACCGCTACACCAGAAAGAAGGGGGAAGGAAGCAGGAGACACTTCTCATTCTGGGAATGAGAATCCCTTCGAACTCGGGTTTGTTGTAGGATGCTGGCCAGGCCAGGCAAGGGCGAACTGTTACGCAGAATTACTCCGAGGTGGCCAGGCTTGCATCAGCCTATGGTGCCATTTCATTTGCATAAAGGGGTGGGGTGGGCCAGAGAGGAAAATCCCTGCATTTGCAACCACCTGCTGCCACCAATGACAACGACAGGCTGCCTCCAGCCCTTCCTACAGCCATTCCCCCTTCCAAGGCTGAGGCAGGAGTCAGGCTGGACACCCACAACTCTTAAAGCCCAGGCTCACCTCAAGATCCATCCCTGCCAGAATTCCCACTCTCAGCTGATCCTAGCAAGCTGCTTCCGTCTCAGGAGAGCCTCAGGCAGTCAGCTGATTCTCACTGGGCACCCCACCCCTGCCAAGGCCGGCCCCTGGTGTCCCCTCACACCAGCACTATCACTCCCTTCCTCACCACACCCCAGGCCTCACTGCCGCTCCATCAGTCAACCCACTCAAGGACATGGGCCCCATCACCGCTCAGCCACAACTGCCACCTCAGCCACCAAAATGCCTCCTTCCCACTCTGCCCTGGTGGCTCCTATCAGTTCCTGCACCAACTGCCAACCCCAAAGCCACCAGCATAGAACCCCAATAAATAAGAGCCATTTGGCCTTCCTACACATGCCATCCCCCTGTGGCTGAAGAAACCCTGAACTCCTGGCTTCCATTCAGAGATTCAAAAAGCACTTTCCAGAAAGCAATTTCCTTACATGAGACCCACCCCCAAGTCCTGACCAAGCACCCCTTTCCCACCGTAACCCTCCCAGATCCCAAGACCTCCCAGGTGTACCTCTCCCTTTAGTCTCTCCCACATACACCAACCTGAACAGAAGCCCTGGACCCAGGAGCAGAGGGGGGCTGGGCCACCCGGTGCCCAGCCAGCAAAGAGTTAAGGGGCCGGCTCCCTTTGGCATGGCCCCCACCACTGTGAGAGCTGCGGTCCAGGCGGGTCATGGTCTGCGAGATGAGCCCCAGGGCAGCTGGTGCCGGGAAGCCGGACAGGGGGCTGCAAGGAGCTCTTGGCTTGCAGGGAGCACGCCAGGCTGGAAGGGTGGCCCCTTGCTAGCTCCAAGGGGCCCGAGGAGGGTGCCCCGCCCGTGCTGCTGCCTGGGCGGCCCAGCCCAGCCCCCTTCCTCCATCCTCGAGCAGCCCCCTCCCACCTCACAACCCCAGTTCCACTCAGGCACCCAGCAGCCCCCACCCTGAGCTCACCGCAGAGGCTGCAGTGAGATGGGACTCCCACCCCATGCTCCGTGCTCAAGCTGCAGAGGAGAGCCAGCTCCCTCCGGGGCCTAGCCTCCCGCTCCTCCCTCTCTCCCCCTCCCCACGCCCCCCAAACTTGTTACCTAGGCTGCAGCAAGGAGCCAATCCCCTCCCCCTCCCACCCGCAGGTCACTGCTGAGGCTGCGGAGAGCCAATCCCCTCCCCCAGGTCAGCAGCTGGGCTGCGGAAAGAGCCAATCCCCTCCCACCATCGTTACCTAGGCTGCGACGAGAGCCAATCTCCTCCCCCAAGTCTCCGCTGGAGATGCGGAAGGAGCCAATCCCCTCCCACCGCCTGTTACCTAGCTGCAGCCGGGAGCCAATCTCTGCACCAGGGCAGCTGGAGGAGCTGCCGCAAGGAACCAGCCCATCCCTGGGCCGCCTCCGTCTCCTCAAGGAGACGCACCCAGGGGCGGGCAGCCCCACCCAGCCCAGTCAGCCAGCCGGGGTGGCGCAGTGAGAGAGCCCTGGGGGGAAGGGGTGCCCCTCTCCCTCCTGTCGCATCCTGCCTTCCCCAGCCCACTCAGGACCGGGCAGAAACCACTCCCGCAGCTTCTCGGGGAATCTAGCTCTTCCCTGGAAGTGGAGTTCTCCTGTTCCTCAGCAGGGCTGCGGCCGGTCATCCTGAAGCCCAAGGATCCCAAGCCAGGCTGGGCAAGGACCCACCCTGCACCCAGCCCCGCTGGGAGCCAGGGGCTCTGTCCCCCGACTCTAGGCCAGAGGACAGGAAGGAGGACAGCCGCCCGCACACAAGCGGAGAGGTCACAGTGCCGGCCAGGCCTGCCCCAGGCAGGAGGAGGAAGCCCGAGCCTGAAGACCATACCCCAAGGAGCTGGATGCTCCCCCACATCCTGGCCGCACGTGTGCACCACGCGCCCCCCTCACCCCAGCTTTGTTCAAGAGCTGCTCTGGCAGGCCCCGGCCCACAACCCTAACGCCAGGAAAACGGCACCCACAGAATCAGCAGCACAGTTCCACCGTCCATCCTCACTGCTGCACCCCTCGAGCCTAAGGTCAGGTCAGGGACAGTATGTTCTCCTTGGTCACAGACTGCTCCTCGCTGGGAAGAGCTGTAGGCAAGCCACCCCCTGCTCTGGGCAGAGTGCCAACCTCCAGGGGAATCCTATCCCTGACAAGGGCCTGGGCTTGGGCTGTCCGTGGAAGCGGCCTGGCGGCAGGGGAGCGCTGCCACCCCGGGGGGAGAATACCAGCTCCAGCAGCGCCTGTCACATGCTCAGGACCTGGGTATTTTTATCCCTGAGTTGCTGAGGAAATGTTGTTCTAGATGCGAAATAATCCTCCCTTCCCCCACACCCAGCCTAGGGCCCTCTGACCCACCCCCAACCCCCAAAGGGAGCAGAAAAGGCCTGGGGTCAGGGACAGCACAACCTCCATGAGGGGCAAGAAATGGAAGAAAGCAGGGTCTAAGTCTCATCCCGTTCTGCCCCAACCCAGCCGATGACCTCCATCGTTCCCACCCCATCGTGTCCCAGGAGAGCTCCGAACAGGAAGGGGACGGGAGCTTCACCTGCAGAGCTGCCAGGAGCAAGCCCAGTTACACAGCCAGCCCTTGGGGAGCCACATGAGGGCAGGAGGACGGAGACTGAGGCTGGGACGCATACTTCTTCAGACCACCATGCCAAGACTGAAGCCCATTTGAAGGAAAAGGACAGAGGAACAGAAAAAAGGTAAAGTTCCCAGTGGCACTGTAGAATCTAGGAACTGAGGCACTGCGAGGTAAGGAACACTCACAGCTCCCGTGCTCAGATACTTCTAGATTATCTGATCCTCTCAAAGCAGATCCGGCGTGAGGCAGCTAAGCAGAGAGCAGCCCTGGCACTAAGACGTGTGGGGCCAGATCCCTCTGCCGTTGGGGTCCTGTCCCTTTTTAGTAAGTTTCACAGCATCCCAACTAGACGCCAACGGCACCTCTTGCAGTTGTGGCAACCAGAACTGTCTCTACACATGGCCATCTGTCCCCTGGACAGGCAAAATCACCCCCACAGAACACCACCCGCCCAGAGGAAGCCACAACCTTTTACAGCTACTGACATTCAAAGAAATGAACTCAGTAATGGGCTCAATTGCAAGACAGGAGTAGAACCTGGTCAGACTGGTAGGCAGAAAAAGACCCAAGATCTGTAGCACCTGTAAAACTTTCTACATACCACCCCTCCTCCCCAGGACTGGGCTCTGGAAAACCCGGCCCAGCGCAATCCAGCCTTCCCTTTCCCTAATGGCGAGGAGAGTGCAGCAGGCCTTTTCTCAAGCTCCTTAAGGCTGAGTGGCCAGGCCTAGCCCAAACACAGAGCTCAAAGTGGTTTTAACATCACGTTGAAGTGGGAGCAGCAGGAGCCGTTCACCTCCACAAAGTCAAGTGTCTCACTTTCTGCCCCGAACAACGTGTCAGCCACGCGTCAGGAGCCGAAGACCTCTGACAGCTCCAAGCAAGCTGACTGAGGTGGCAGAAGGCAGTTTCTCTTTTCTCTTCTAGCTCCCAGCCCTCTCTTCCCTACTCCCCTCAGCAGGCCTCCAGCAAGGAATGGGAGCCCTGGCCCTCTCCGGGCCAAGAATAACTATCTAAATCTGCCCCTTGGCTCGGGCCCAGGAGAGCTGACTTATCAAGGACCTTACAACAACAGGCCTGACCACAAAGGAGGAGAATTTCAGGATATGCATGTGTGTTTTGATGTGGGGGAGGTACAAGGCAAGAGTCCACGATGTATTTGTGTCTTAGCAACAGATACACACCGCATCAAAGCCCATCACAACACCACTCCCTCCCCCACCCCGGGGGCCTCCAGCAGTTGTGTTGAAATCCAAGCAGTAAACACGCTGGCATGTTCTAGGAACCTCCCACTGCCCTGCCGGTACATTTAGAGGTGGGTCAATGGTTCAAAACAAGGAAATGCTCCCCCCCACCCCCACCCCCGCCCATCACCGTCCCGGTCAGACAATTCAGCTCATTCCTGCCAAAGAACAACGCCTGAGACCCCCTCCCATGCCACTCCAGTTCTTTACAGCGGTCAGTCCTGTGATCTCGCTCCTTCAGAACCAGCCCCCCACCCCCAGTCCCCTCTCACCCACCCCGATGTGTGGTCACTAACCTCTTTGGTTAGGTCTCCACTGACTGGAGGGGCTACAGCTCCCAAATCCTCCAGATCTTCACTGAATCCCTGCTCCGTCTCGCTTTCTCGCACCCCGTTGTCTGGGCCTGTCACATCTTGGAGGCCACTGGAACTCTCGAGGGTGAGGCCTGAGCTGGGCTGGCTGCCAGAGACAGACCCCTCTGGATCCCGGTGGACCAGCCAGGCGTTGACCTCAGTGGTCGGCACCTGGAACCTGTCCAGGGCCCTCACCTGACTGAGGAGCCGCCGGGCAGTGAAGTAATTGTCCAGGTCTATGCTCTTGGGGTGGATACCATAGCCATCCAAGGTATTCCTCAGGTTGTGGAACTGGGTCTGAGTATAGGCAGAACTGGGCCCCAGGATGATCTCCCGGAGCGGGGGAAGCTGTGAGGTCAGGTAAGTATCCACGTCCACCCGCACCCCAATCAAGCTCAGCAAAATGGTGAACTGGAGAAGTCCTTCCGTTAAGTATTTCTTCAGAGAAAGCATTGCTGAAGGACCAGAATGTTTATGCTTTTTGGTTTTTAAATCTTCCAAAAGACAAATCAAGGCCACTGCTCTGGTGCTCCAGCCAGCAAGTTACCCTCCTCAGGGCCAAACCCTGTATCCCACCCTGGCAGAACACAGGGGCTGAGCTCCCGGATGGCCTCAGAGCAAAGCACACCCTGTGAAGCCAAGGCCTCTCTCCAGACCACATTCACTTTTCCCTTCTCGGCACCTCACCTCAGCGTGTACAACTGTTGCTAACCCAGTCCAGGCCCTCAAGGCCCACGTGACTTACTGTCTCCAGAGTCCACATACAGTCACTTCCTCACTCACATTGGTTGTCCTCTCTGTAGATTCCACTGCAGGCTGTTCTCAGGAACAGCTGACGGGCTGTTTTGTTTTGTTTTTTTTTTTTTTTCCTTTTCCCTAAGGTTTATTTTCTTTGGCTGGAGCTACAGGCCTTTTGTCTTGGGTCAGAGTGTCCCGCCTCCTCCACACTTACCAGGGGGGTTTCCAGAGAAACCTGAAATGGGAATCACAAGAGCAACAGAATAAGATTCCAGAATTTTCACACCATGATCAAGGCAGAAGGCAGGAAACACATTCAATTGCCACTTTCGTATTTTATTGAAAAATAAGTCAATTACTTTCAGAAAAATAAAAACCAAAAATCTGTTATAAGTGGAACTATGAAGAGAAAATACTGCTCATAAAGGATCCCCCTTTCTGGATTCTAAATTTGTAATACCCTAAAAGGTAGCTTGTTTGGATAAGCAGATAATGCCTGGGGCATCCAAAATATTTTACATGATGTCTGATTTACCAACCCTCCCCCCCATCCACACACCACCCAGCTTCTATTTTTAGCTTGAGAAGCCCATTTCCTAACTTAAAGAAAAGTTGTATCCTCCATCTCTCAAGACAAAACTGCCTACAATCTCTGTCCCTTCCAGTTCTAAAGGGAACGGAGAAACTAGTAATGGGAAAAGAGTATATGAGGACAACGTTCAGGACACCACTTCACGACAGAATAACGCCTTTTGTTTTACCAACTTTAAAATATGGTTTCTCTTTCCTATCTCTCACATTAAAAGGGGAAAGGGGATGGTGAGAGGTCTTGTGGGGGCGGGGAGCAGTGAGGCAGGAGGATTATTCCACCCAGAATTTGCAATAGGCAGGTTATATTTTCATTTATATGACCTTCTGAGCCAAAGCAGAAGGATAAGACCCAAGTTCTCAACCTAAATAGCCAAGTGGGGAAGGAGTAAATCTGCCTTTCAGTTTCTGGTCTCTACTTCTGAGTTTCCATTAACCTCATAAACCAAGACGTAACTCTTCTCTTCATTGTCGTGACCCACCTACCAACTTCATCCTAAAGGGGAAGAGTGACACACGGACAGGGACGGACGAACGAACACACACACACACACACACACACACACACACACACACACCTTATTTGGTTAAAGTAAACACAACTGCGACCCAGAATTCCTGCTAACACTACCCTCCCGTTCTCACGCAATTTATTACTAAAACCTCCCAAGAGACAAGTTCGAGAAACCGGGCAAGGCCCCATAAAGACGAAGAAGGCCAGACGCCTCTGGTCTGAGCCCAGTCCCACCCCGCCCCGGATACCCGAGTCCGGCTGGGACCAAGTCGCCATGCCCGCTGTCGGCGTCTCGGCTTCTACCCTTCTGGGGCAACAGCGAACAAGTGCGACTCAGCCGGCCTTGACCCACCCTCACAGCCAAACCCCACCCCGCCCTCCGTCCCGATGGCCCCACCCCGTTCCAGGCCTGGGCCTCACACCACGCCTTCTCGCGCCCTCAGCCCTCCCCAGTCCAACCCACCCCGGAGCTGGCTTTCTCCAAGGCTTCGCGGCCCCTCCCTGCCAGGCCCAGGGCCCGGGCCCGTAGCGAAGCCCGCTCGCCCGCCCGTTCCCGCCTCCTGCCTCCTGCCTCTAGCCCAAGGGCTCCACCCCGCCGCCCTTCACCCCACAAGCCTCAGTCCCGCGGGGCTCCGCCCGCCCCCCCCCACCGGCGTCGGGGAAAGGAATGTGCTTGATACCCGCTGCAGAGCTCAGCGTCCGCCGCTGCCGCCACAGCAGGCTCTCAGCCCGAGTCCCGGCCTTGCCGCCGCCACCGCCGGCCGGCCTAGAGCTCCCCAGCCTCCGCTTCCCTCCCCGCCCCCTCCTCCCACCTCACTCGGAAGCCCGCCCTCCGCGTCCTTCCTAGGACTACGTTTCTCCAATCAACGAGCCGAGACTGCGGCCTTCGCCGGATGTCACTTTGATTGACAGCCAAAAGAGCCCAATGGCTGAGCGTGCCTCCTCCTTCCTCTCCCGATTTCCCAAGACTGACATGGCCCACAGCCCAGTGCGCACATCGGCCCGCCCCGCGGCGTGGGCTCACCAATAAGTGGGGTGAAGGCCTTATTGCCCGGCATTCTGGCCCCTCCGCGGTGCGTCGGCCTTCCGAGGTACTATAGGTTGGGCGCGGAGTAATGTGTGCAAGCTGAGCGCTTCCAGTGTATTCCTCGGCTGGGGGATAAAGGCTTAGGGCCGGGGGTGAGAGCTGGTATCACTGCCGGAGCGCGGAATTCTCCCCCCGCCCCGAAGGTTCCCACGGTGACTTGCAAAAGCCCAGTGAGACCTGAGGGGGCCGAGGCGGGACACAGAGCATGTGTTCCCGTGGTGGCGACGCTCGAGCCGCCATATTGGGTGCTGGCAGCGGAAACCGCTATCGCCGCTTCCGCTCTGTGCTGGCCCGGCAGCGTGGCCCGAGCCAGTCAGGGACGGTTGCGTCGCAAGTGGCGGGCAAGGGTCGCATTGCGGGAAAGGCCCAGCGGGCGGGTTGCCACCACGGTGGTGGGACGTTGACGGTGTGAAGGATATGGCATGACTGGCGAGTTTTGTAGTGATAGGGACACCCCATAGAGTTCTCTTCCCCGTCTTGTCTGCCCCGCCCGCCCAGACCACGGAGCTTAGTTTTGCCTTTCAGGAACTTTCTTCGATTTCGGGTGCTGGCCAATCTCACCTAGCCGACATCTTTGTGATTTTTCAAACATTGCTTTATACCCAGCTTCACCTGGGGGAGCCTGTAAAACCTGCAGATTCTGAGGCCTCACTCCAAGACGCGGGTAATTTTAACACAGTTGATCCCAGGACCACCTTTAGGCAATCACTAAGTTGAAGTTCCTAGTACTTTGTTCCCAGCTGTGGGACAAAGAGGCATCAACTCAAATTCTTGACTCTCAGGGAGATTCTCGTAATCTAGTGGGCGAAATCACTGGTCCTTGTACAACAAGGACAAGGCCAGCTGCTAACTCTTCAGATAACGACATGTAGTCCTCGCGTGTTTGGAGAGTTGGGAGGCTTAATCTGGGGTGGTTCACAGAATATAAAGCACTTTCAGAATTCATACAGAAAGGTACACCAGCGGCCAGTCATTGAATCCTTAACAAACTGCTGGGGTAGTTAGGCATTTCAAAGACTGATTCAGAGAGCACATGTTTTACTTACTCGTTTTACTATTTGGCTTCTAGTAAATGCTAGAATATAAACTCCACGAGGACTAGAATTCTGTGCGTTAACTGTTGAATCCTCAAAACCTAGAACAGTGGGACGCCTGGGTGGCTCAGTTGGTTGAGCAGCTGCCTTCGGCTCAGGTCATGATCCCAGCGTCCTGGGATCGAGTCCCACATCGGGCTCCTTGCTAGGTGGGGAGCCTGCTTCTCCCTCTGCCTCTGCCTGCCATTCTGTCTGCCTGTGCTCATTCTCTCTCCCTCTCTCTCTGACAAATAAATAAAATCTTTAAAAAAAAAAAAAACAACAACTAGAACAGTGCCAGGAACAAAGTTGACAATAAATACTGAGTAATTGAAGGAGAACTCCAGCAGGAAGGCCTGTCATTAGAAGGTCCTGCTAAAAGCAGAAATTAATACGTGGAAGACATGTGGTCTTGGAAGGGTATGGGATGTTACCAAGGAAATGGGAGACCATTCAGCCCCCGAATTAATAAGACCATGGAAATACTCCTGTTGGATAAGAGGAGAAACTGAGGTGTGCTTTGTTAACTCTTAAAAATATACCAATGGAGGGGGGGCGCCTGGGTGGCTCAGTGGGTTAAGCCTCTGCCTTCAGCTCAGGTCATGATCTCAGGGTCCTGGGATTGAGTTCCGCATCGGGCTCTCTGCTCTGCGGAGAGCCTGCTTCCCCCTCTCTCTCTGCCTGCCTCTCTGACTACTTGTGATTTCTTTCTCTGTGTGTCAAATAAATAAATAAAATATTAAAAAAAAAATAGAGTGTCATTTGTTTGACCCAGCAAATACAGAACAATTTTAAACCTTGACACAATTGAAAAAAAAAAACAAAACTGGGTGATTCTCTAACCTATGGGAAACTTTAGCACCAACAAAACTGGTGTTTTAGACAGGTCCACTTGTATTTTCCAAGTTCCTTTTGAGCCACATAGCACGTTACCAAATGCATGGGATAAGAAAGTCCAGGGCGCCTGGGTGAGTCAGTTGATTAAGCATCTGCTTTCAGCTCAGGTCATGATCAGAGTCCTAGGATTGAGTCCTGTACGGAGCTCCCTGCTGAGCAGGGAGTCTGCTTTTCCCTCTCCCTCTGTACCTCCTCCCTGTTCATGCTCTCTCTCTCTCTCATGCATAAATAAAAATCTTTAAAAAAATGAAAAAGTCTTACAGTGGACACAAAACTAATGTGAAGTCAAATCAATTAAATATTCACTGAAATGAAATGGCAGCCCTAGGTTGAAGGCCACCCTGGGAGCTAACATGGGACACAATCATGTCACTTGGAAAGCTTAAAATCATTTGGTCGCTTTTAATGACTCAAAATTTGTTGGGATAGCAGTCCTACCCATCCTCTCCTCCCCTTTCTTTTCTGGGGTCCTGGGTGTCAAGGGAGGCACAGGCACCGAGGAGAGGAAGGTCTCTGTGTTAATCCCTAGAAAAGGGATGGGAGAGGTGTGGAAAGTCATTTGTTCGTGCCCATACTGTCCCCTTCATTTTCTTTTGCCTGCCAGCTTCACTGTGTCCAATTATTTGAGCGTTCAGTGGGAGGTGGATCAGGAACTGTTTAACTGGGTTAAAGAGTGACAAGATCAAGTCATGCTTAGCGCTTACTAAAGGGTGGGAAGGAAGAGGGAAAGACAAGGAATTGCTCACCCGTTGCAAGGACTGAGGAGAATCTAGACGTAGAGACGGTTTCAATCAGCAGCAGGCAGGTAGGCCTGTCCAGGATAGTTCGTACTCCATAGCAGGGAGCGGGGATCAAAACACTGTCTTCCACTCTGTTGAGAATTCCAGATCAAGTCTGAGCAGGTGCAAACCTACTTCCCACTGATTAACCATGTAAAATCCAGGGCGTGTCCTTCACCTAGGATGCCACCCTCCTCCCTTCCCCTGGCATGCTCTCCCTCTCCTTTGCCTGGAACAGCTGTTAATAGGACAATTACCCAAGAAGCAAAAGAAAGAAAGATGCCATGTTGATGTGTCATCCGTCCTGGTATATCCATTAAATCAGACTGAGAAGACCACTGGAAAAAGTGAACACATGCGCTCCCTTCCCTAAGGGAGAGGCTGGGAGCCATCAGTAAAACCAGACCTTGCCCTTGTGACTCGAGATCGCTTGGGAAAGGACAAGGCAGTGGGAAGCCAGGAAGAGAGTTTGTTTTAATGCACAGGGACTTAGGGTCATCAAAGAGCCAGCTAACTATACACTGGATTCCCTACTCATCTGGGCTATATCTGTGTTGACCCAGCTTCCTCCATGGAAAAAGCTGTTGCCACCAGCAGACACATCCATCCTCCAGTCATCTGGGAGGAGGACATCTGCCAGGAAACCCTTAAAGAAGGGGTTGGATTTCTTCTGGAATAGCAGGGAAAGGGAAAATCTAGTCTTTCTGCTCTTCTGGTTGCTCATTATTTTTTTTTAAGGTTTTATTTATTTATTTGACAGACAGAGATCACAGGTAGGCAAGAGAGGTAGGCTCCCCGCCCAGCAGAGAGCCCGATGCAGGACTGGAACCCAGGAGTCTGGGATCATGACCTGAGCTGAAGGCAGAGATTTAACCCACTGAGCCATCCAGGCACCCTCTTTCTTTTTCTTTTTCTTTTTCTTTTTTTTTTTAAGATTTTATTTATTTATCCGACAGGCAGATCACAAGTAGGCAGAGAGGCAGGCAGAGAGAGAGAGGAGGAAGCAGGCTCCCTGCTGAGCAGAGAGCCCGATGTGGGACTCAATCTCAGGACCCCAAGACCATGACCAGAGCCAAAGGCAGAGGCTTTAACCCACTGAGCCACCCAGGAGCCCCCCCACCTTTTTTAAGATTTTATTTATTCATTTGACAGAGAGAGAGATCACAAGTAGACAGAGAGGCAGGCAGGGAGAGAGGGAGAAGCAGGCTCCCCGCTGAGCAGAGAGCCCAATATAGGGCTCGATCTCAGGACCCCAAGACCACGACCTGAGCCGAAGGCAGAGGCTTAACCCACTTAGCCACCCAGGAGCTCCTATTTTTCCTTTTTAAAGAAATTTTTAAAAAATATTGCTAATCTATATAAATATTTCTCACTCTCCAACTTCCATCTAACCCAGGGGAGTGTATTAGATGACTGTGAGATTTCCTTACAGCCCTTCTGAGAGATTCTAGGATTACATCCTGTCCATACTAAATGTTAGCATGTCTTGCAAGGAAATCAATTAGTTATCCTGCTAATCCGACATCTGGCCTCCTTTCTTACATGGTAAACATCATTAGCAAGCTTGTTACCATTAAACCCTCAAAAGAGGTAAAGCTCTTCCACAAGCCAGCCTCTTCCCTGTGCACCCCTGCACCTCGGCTGTCTTAGAAGATTGCTTCTTAACCCTGGTTGCACATTAGAATCACCTGGGGGGCTTGTAAAAATTATCCATGCCCAGGTCCCACCCCCAACCAATTAAGTCAGAGTCTCCCAGAGCAGCCCTGGGCATCAGGATTTTGTAAAATGCTCCTCAGGTGATTCTTATGTGCAGTCAAAGTAGAGGATTGCTAGCCTGGAGCAAAAATTCAAATTGGGTAAAAAGAAAATAGCAGTGGTAATGCGTAAGCGCAGACTAGAATCATCACCTGATTTTAGGATACAGTCTTTCTCCGTCCTGGAATGCCCTATTCCTTGAACTATCCAATGAAAACA